TTGATTTGGGCACGCCGTCATAACCCGCCACCTTGTGACCTGCCTGTCATACGAAGTTCTGCTTAGGCCCAGGAGAATAACGTTACATGTACCTAGCCTTCCCAACCGCGATGCTCTGGAAAACCCTGAAACCAAACCCCCACCATCTATTTGTGTCCAACTCACAACTCACCAGACGCATTGAACATCACCGGCTGAAAATTAATGAAGTGTCACTTTCTATTTATAGAGATGTTTGTTAAAGGTTAACTGTCTTGCCTTGTCAACGTATGCAGACAGAATGTGATCTTGGTGCGGGTTGCAAACTGACCTATATACATTTATGCACATTTAGGTAAAGATGTATGGTAGAGTCTGTTTGGTGTTGAGAGAAGGGGAAGTCTGCGCTCCCCAGTCATCTCACATAACTACTGGACACAATAAAACCTACAACCTACTTTATTGCTATTTAACTATATTTTATTACGGTGTAAAAGATTTTTTGTTTTATATTAGATTTTTTGTTTTTTTTATATTGTATCTATGCACCATGACATCAAGTCAAATTCCTAGTATGTGTGAACCTACCTGGCAATAAACCTGTTTCTGATTATGATTATGATTCTGAAAGAGATACAAGCAGTTGGGGAATTTGAGGCATGCCAGGGTGAAGCTATTCTGAGTAGATGGGGGTGTGTCCCCAAAATAGTCCACTGTCTAATATTAGTCCATGTTTAACTTAGCTTCCCTTTTTATTATCATCTTTATCAGCTCACCAAAGGCTTACTTCCATGTCAATAACTTTGTTGGTAGTAGTTGTTGGATTAATAAACCAGAGAATGAATGTATTGTTCACAGGATCTATTAGAAGATAATCTACAGGAGAAGGACATTATGTTTAGTTGTATTTACTCTGAAAGCCATGTAAGAGTTTAGTAAAGCAGCAGTTTTAATCTGTTGCTAAATTTCTTGTCTAAGCCAGTGTGGCCAGTGAGGCAAAGCGCTTGAAGCTGTATGTGGAGATTAAGGGGTTAAATCCCTGCTGTTTGGCTCATGAGTTCAACTCCTCTGCAAATTAGACGGGCACACAAAGCAGCTGGCATTTACTGCATTCTGCAATCTCTTTCTTTATCAGTGTTTTTTATTTTCCAAACTTTTCTCTCTCTTAGCCGCTGTGTTCTTCCATTTGTACATTTGTTGTTGCCCTAACATGCCCATATACTTTGTATCCTCTGGAGTTTGTCAGTTGCAGGCAGCCGTCAGAAGGGTGTTGAGTTTCCACTCCCACCTAGATCTGCTCCTTTCCTCTGGCACTCTACTTCTGCTATTGGGAGGCGCTGCCTTTTTCAACCAATCACGTTGCACAAAGCTTGTCTCACAAGAGGAATATCGGCTGCTAGCAGACCTTTTGGAAACGTTTGCCAAATAAGCAATTCTCACAGTTGATTACAAACAGATTTGTCAGTCATAGTCATGCACATAGTTGTTTCCATGGATAATCTGTGTAAACTGAAATTAAATGTGACTTTTTAAAGTCCTGGTTTGAGCAGAGAGCTAAAGTAATATCATAACAGAAAAGAGCATGGGTGAAGGGGAGGAGAAAAGCAAACACACAATGCACAGCTTCCTCAACAGCTGCAGCCCAGTTCTGAAATCCCCATCATCTTGTGACTTCCTTCCTCTGCTGCACAGCGCTGCAAATTCTCGGTGCACAAATGTACACACACTTGCACATACACACACACACACACACACACTCAGCACATTGTGTGCACACACTTGTAGCATACGCCAGGGTCTTTGTTTATCCAAAAAGGGTCACACAAGAGAACTGTGGGGGCAGGGTTTATGTGTCTGTCAGAGAGAGAGAGATAGGCAGTGCTTTGCAAATGTATTACCCTATAGCTACATCAGTGTTTTGTTTTTCCTCATATGAGACATTTATGTAAAGGAACTATGAAAGTGAAGGCAATGTGAACGCACAAACAGAAAGCATTCTCTGCCATTGTCGAAGCTTGTCAATTGTTTCAGTTTTTTTGGGAGTGGAACAAAAACAAGGCTGATCTTTGAGTGTGTGCAGGAGAGAGAGTTAAGAGTTAAGAGCCGCTAGAGCAGAGCTGCTGGTATGGGTGTGAACATTGAAAGTAAACATGACCATGTCCCACAATCCTCTGCTCTTGTGCTCCCCTTGTGGAATTTAGACACAGAAATTCCAGAGGTCACAGCTCTGGTTTATCCAAATTCCCCACAGGACCTCAAACATGACTTTCAGTTGTGAGTCCTCGATATCAAATGCTACATGCTTCAGTTTTCACAGGTCTACAATAAACACATGCAAATACTGTTCAGTATGTAGATGCATTTACAGTCACATGCGTACACATAAAGTCAAGAACATGTACAATGGCTTCATTCAAAGCCATTCGTATGTGCCCAAAGTCCATCAGTGAACACAGCGAGTTGGCTGTCATCCAGATCTTTCACACCATACCCCGTTGTCTGTTGCCAAAGCAGTTATGGAGAAATGTTAACAGGTTCGTCCACTGCAAAGCTAACTCTAACCCTAGCCTAGACCTCAACTGACTGATAACACAGTTTACTCTGTCTTATCCTACCCTGTCAAAATAGGTCAGGTTACCGCGCAGAGCAAGCTGTGTCAACACATACGCAAACTAGTTTACACGTACCCTCACGATCAATCTTCATACATTCATTTTCACACACTATTAGCACCAATGTATGTTTACTCTCAAATATTGTATTTTGGTCTGTGAAATACTCACAGACCGAAATAAATACATTTAGGAAGTTTGCACATACGAAGAGTAAAGTTGACTAAAAGGTGGTGAACATTAATACAGTGAGTGTTCATTTGAATCCCAGCAAAGTTAAGAATGTATTATCAGTTATGGTTGAATAAATGCACTTATAGGTGCAAGGCTGTGAATGAGGCAGAATTTAGAGTGGCCTTTTATTGGAGCTGCTACCCATACATAGAATTGTACTGTAGATGTGTATCTTTTACTGACACGCCATAATGTTTTCTCCTCTCGTGTGTGTTTCAGATTGCAGACACCTACTCCATTGTGTGTAAAACCCAGAAGAAGAAACCTTCCATGGAAAACAACGGATCAAAGACCCTCCCACGCTCCTTTGGTGGAGGTTCACGGGGCCGAGGCAGAGGAGTTCAGGGCCCGGCGCGTTCCCAGGAGGAGCCGGGCTACGAGCCGGTAGGAGACAGGTCCTGGCCCGAGTCTGACCCCGCGTACGCTACAATCGACGCCCACCGGAAAAGGGAGCAGGAGGGAACCAATAACAGCCCAGTTGGGGGTTCTGCCACTCTGAAAAGGAAGAAGCAGACGCCGCAGCAGGCAGCTCCAGCGGCTCCAGCGGCTCCAGCGGCTCCAGTGGCTCCAGTGGCTCCAGTGGCTCCAGCGGCTCCAGCGGCACCAGCTGCACCTCAGGGCTCAGGACCCACCGCCCTGCCTAGAGGCGTTCCTGGTGGGGAAAACTTCTACGAGACTATCAGCGATGTGAAACAAGGGGCCAACAGCTCCAGCACCACCACCATCTTCACCTTCAATGATGGGATGGAGATGTATGTCACTGGCCTGTAGCTGGCTGACAGGCAGAAAGTGCCCAGGGCCCACTGGTACAGAGTCATGAAAAGGACCCTCCTGTTCACCTGCCAAACGTCTTGCTGTACATACATACAAGGCCCTCTATAGACAAAAAACATGAGGATCCATTTTGTGATGACATCAGGTACAAACAGGGTCTTAATCCAGGTTCAGACATCCCTAAATTGGTCTGTACTTCAGAACCAGCCTAAGCCTAGTCCAGCCCAAATATGGACCAAATACGTTTTAACAACAAAAAAAAAGATTAAGAAAACTGGAATATACATCTTCAGTCTACTGTGTCACTGACCATACTCACCTGTTTGTGTATCATTTTCCATAATATCTTTATTTTTATATGAACACTCTTCAAAAAGTATGTGGTGTAACTCACATCCTGAGAACAACACACTTTAATATATATATATATATATATTTAAAAAAGTAATGTATGTGCATGCATTGTGCAAACACACACCTGAAAATAGAAAAAAGTAGCAAGGAAAATCGTAGGTATATTGAGAGGAAGAGGCACACTGTTACCTATTATCAGACACACACACACACACACACACACACACACACACACACACACACACACACACACACACACACACACACACACACACACACACATACATATGCCTCATTTTGGAGGGACTTATGTAATAAGCAGATGGATGGCACAGAGATTTGTGGTGCTTAGCTCTCCCTAAGCAAACATCTGAAACAAGTTCTCTGGTCGCTATGGCCGGTTGCTTGGTGCTTTGCTCCAACACAGAAGTAAGCGAGGGCTATGGTCTACATTTAAAAAATAAATAAAAAGGTTCATCGTTGTGCTCTACATAGCAGTTAATAATATCAGCCCTTAACTTAATAATGTTACATCCAATCAACAATCAATACTCCAATTTGACAAACATCTGTACCCAGAAGCATGATGACACACCCCAGCTCAGATACAAACATACTTGGCACAATCATGCGGGGTAAGTTGAGATCAGTGGCATCGAGAAGGTTGTGAAAGAACTTCTCCAGAAGGATACGGGTGACAGATTTCACAATACAAAATGTTCACTGTATACATCATTGGGAAAATGTAGAATATTTATAAAAATAAGGAAGCGAAAGAGTGCCCAAAATAATACAGGATGTTTTATCCTGCGCAGTTAATAACATGTAATGTCCTTTGGGGACTGTAAACTGCTTATTTTCTGACCGTTATAATTTTACACTCGATAGCTGCGGGGGTTTTAATTTAATTGCTCATTAACATGCTGTAAAAGGCATTTCCAAGTACAGTTCTAAAAGGCATCTATGGTCTCAAGTCATAGCTAGAGCTCCCCAAAGCTCACCCGACTAAAGTCTGGTGGTTGAAATAGCAACATAGGACTTGGACTCCAAGGAAAATAAAGAGCTGGGCATGAACATTACCAGTGAGTGTCTTTGGAAGGTTGCCCCTCGCTCTCTCGCTACCCTCTCTCCAGCCTCTGCACCGAGTTCTCTTCCATAATAAACAATGTATTTTCCATGTAGCTTTGGGGAACATTAAAAAAAGAACAGAGGAATCAAAACAAAATATCAGACGTTTAGTGAATGGGCATAAAGATAAGGGGTGAAGAGGGATATAAAATGCTTACCGAGCTGAAGGATGCATTAGAAAAAGCACACTGTGAGACAACCATGCAAAGAGAAGACGGGTTTAGTAGGGTTAGTAATTCAATGATAAATGCTACTGTTTCAGAAAGTATATAAAAAAAACAAATGCACTCTGTATTTTAATGCACTGATAATTTTTTCTTACCTACTGACAATACCATTGGTTAAATAGCTCATGCCACTGCCATGAAAACAGTATTGTGTTGTTGGTGCAATTTTTTCCTGCTTGATCAAAAAAACGCATGCTTTGATATATGGAGATGAAAACAAATATTGTTGTACTTATTTTATCTCTTTGTTTGTTAATATGTTTCTGTTTTTTGCCATGAGATGCAAAGCAGCATTCAGTTTATTTTCCCAAAGCAGCGACCTGGAGGAGGAAGGGAGAGAAATAGAAAGTGAGGGAGAAGCCGCTGGGATTTTAGAGCGGAGCGTTGTTCATCCTTCCGCTCTGGGGGAACAAGGAGGAGCGATAGAGGTGAGGAGGGGGACGAAGAACAGCTAGTAAAACTGGATAACTGAAAATGGACACGGACCCAAAGGACCCTCCCCCTCCTGATGTGTATTTGCTTGCGTACGTGCACACACACACGAAATCAGGCCCACACTGCCATGTGTGTTTCCAGTTTAGGGGATGAAGCACATTTTGCTTCCATGCATTTTCTCCCTTCCCAGCCGTGTTCATTCTCCAATCACCTCTCCCTCGCTGTGTAGGGTAGGGGCTTTTGATGTCCAGTTCTGAGGGACTCAGGGAGGGATATGAGGGGGGGGGCAGAGGCTGCGGGGTCAGGCCAAACCCAGTCTGATATCAACAATGCACCAACAGCTCAACTACTGTCTGATATGAGAAATGGCCAACAGCTGAGACGCTTTACAAGCTTTGTTGAGGCTTCCCTTAGACAATGCTGGCTTGAAATCGCTTTCACACCTAATCCTTTTTCTCTGGCTGTCACATTATGTGTCACATTTTCTTTATCCTGAGAGAAAGCACTGATCTGATATATATTGTTGAACACTGTTACAGTAGACACTGATCGAGACAGATGTTCATTGCACAAACAAATACAGTATGATGATGTAAATGTGTAAAATACTCGGTTGCTGTTCTGATGTTGTTCTAATGTAACATACAGTATACAGTATATTTGTTGAAAAAAAAGATGGTTATCACAGACACATTGTACTTGTGGATGCAATATGTTTCATGCTTTCCATGCAGATGCTGTTTGTTAATTGTCTTCAGATATAATTATGGGCCAAAACTGCTGTGACAGCTGTAGCCAATGTTGTATGTTCTTAAAGCACAGGGTTTAGTTGAAAAAATAATGAATATAATACAATATAGTGTGACAGTGCAGATATGCAAAAGATTGTAATGTTTTATATTAACCTTCATAAAATATTAAAGTGAGTTTTTACTTTTCTAATAAAGTGGCACATTATAACGTGTGTTTGTCTTTTCCCTTAGTGTTTGTACAGGATATCAAATTAAGCAGCACTACAGTGTCAGTTGTTGCAGCTGTGTAGCAGCCTCACGGTATTAACTGTAGCTTTCAATAATGCAGCTTGGGTGCAAAAAAGATGTGTATCTGCTTTATTAGGCAATAAACCTTGAGTCTTGGCTGTGCAGACATTTGGGTTGAATAAAGAGGCATTGAGGAGCTTCCAACAACTGAAACTCGAATAAAACAAATGTTATTAATACAAAAGTTATTTGATCATGCTTATGAGATACACATTTCCAACGAGCACGCAGTTTTAGATAAAGAAGGCTGTTGGAAAAAATTGCTAAAACTCGGTATTGACCCTAGAGAACACATTATTAAATCAAGTATTGTATTTTTTTACAAATTATGTGGAGACTAGAAATTGCCCTAACAATGCATTACAGTAGGCTAATAACGTATCTCTATTAACTTATCCAAATTGTATTGCAGCCAAGCCAATGTCAACAGAACCTAATATTATCATACTTTAAATCAATCACGCCTTTACGACAATCTCAGAACACTGGGCTAGTTCATAAGCCTCAGTATTTACTGCAGGGCTGTTTACTCCATTAATTTGCCCGGCACAGAGCTTCATGGTATGGAGTCACAACTTTTACATTTGAAAAACCATTATTAATAGCTTACATTGTCGAATGGTTTATAACTTTTGAAAAAGTAAACACTCTAACCAAAGCTATTTATTCATAGGTAAAACCCTGTTAAATGTACGGTTAAGGCGAGTAAAGATGATCCATTCAATTAACATTTGATTAGCAGTAAACATAACTGCGTAGTTTGCCTCTGCGGCCGGCTGACTGTTTTTCCTGTGCTGTCTCTCGCCTGCCTCGCAGACCGGCTCTTCGTCGCTGACAGACACCGGCCGGTAAACTGCAGAACACGCCCCTTCCCTCGTCCAACCAAATGACTCGAATTAGATAAAAATGTGATTGACACAACCAAATCAGCCAATGAGAGACTGCCTCGCTGTGGACGCGTGCCAAAGTGCAATGTTTATGTACGCAGCCGGCCAATAGGAGCACAGTAAGGGGGGCGTGGCATTCTTTTGGAGGAACGAGGCAAAACAATCTTTTATCCTCCTGACCGTCGGCTTTTTCGATATCCTGGGTAGCAGTGGTGGCAAACTTCAGATGTAGACTAGTACAGAAGTTAGGACAATATCTATCAACTTGCGAAATTAGTTAAATGTATCAAACTCCAGCAATTTGCACTGTAATCTATAGAAAGCTGGTTTTCTTTCTTTAGTTTCTCCTCGCCCTGTCTGAGTATGGATACCAGATACATTTTGGAGCAGACGTCGGTTGGGACAAGGGTCGGTGGGGCTGATTTTAACTACCGGCCAGGCCGTTCCGTGCTGTGCGACACCCGGGTCCCCGCGGCGGAGAAAAACGGTCCCATGCCGGTGTACACACACGGGCCCGTCTTTTACAAATTGTTAATGGACGGCGGCTCGGTGTCGGGAGTTAAGGGCGAGCGAACCTCTCCCAAAGGGAATGGACGAATATTGCACGAGGTGGAAAAAGTAAGTGCCTTTTTCATGTTAACTTTGTACGCGCGACTCCATTCGCCGGTAAAGTCATCTGTGCGCACACAAGTTGCAGCGCAAATACTATCAAGCATGCAACGTTGTGTCATTACCATGGTCATTACGCGGTTTACTTATAAGTTGTCTCTCAAGCCGTTATTGCATTTTGAAATATGCCACAGTGAAGTTCACATTGACGTCACTTCTTTATTTTGTGTTGTTTTGTGTATAGTACCGCCTTCACCCACTTTGTTTGTGACAGTCATTTCACCGACTGCTGTCAACGCTCGCTTACAAGTAATAACGTCGTATCAAAACCGCTTTAAATGGCGGAGCATTCTGTGTGCAAAGTTTACAGAAAAGGGGGGCAGGGACTTCAAACTACTAGCCAAACCCCCTCCCCCATAACTGTAGGGTGGAGCTACAGCAGCCTTCCTGGCTGCACGACACGGCCCGGCCTGCTCTGCCCTGAACACACCACAGAACCAGTAATAGTCCATGATAGAACTGTGATATGTTCCAAGTTTTATCATATGCAGCAGGGTTTTGGTTTGCATAGTGCATTTACACTATAATTGCTTACATGTTTTTGCATTGCAACTTGTGGCCCGCGTGTCTAACCATGTCATTTAGTTACCGTGCAACATCAAATATGCAAAGACGACGAATTGCAAAGCCTGCTTTTGATATGGATCAGATAACAGTTTATAACAAACTGCTGCTTGTTTATTTTAACACAGCAATGTGAAGGCACTTATATGGACCCTAGCTTTTTTTCAATGGTGTTTTTAATGAACTTAATATAAATTAAATAAATTATAAATTATAAATTTATATTTTTTAGCTCCAAAGGTTAGTTCAATTTGATGAGTTATATCTGATGATTAGCTGCTTTTAATCTGTCCAAATGAACAAAAAATATTTCGCTTTTGGACTGTTGGTTTGAAAAAACAAACCACTTGAATAATGTAATGCTATTTTTAAACATTTTATAGACTCTGTAGTTAGCCATTTAACACCAAATGAGCTGCAAATTAATTTACACTCAATACAAAACGAACATAATATAATATATAAAAATAAAGTTATATTTTGTATAATCATGTTTCTCATTAAAGGTACTTTAAATATATCAGTGAATCAATGCTGTCAAGTTAGTCGCTTAACTTCCCTTCATCGCTCTCATACATTTTGTTTTTAATCAGATGCCATGCTTCTGTTTTCCCTTTACGGTTTCTGTGGGAAATTATCCATGTCAATATACAGTGGGGAAAAAAGTATTTAGTCAGCCACCAATTGTGCAAGTTCTCCCACTTAAAAAGATTCCCCACTGTATATTGACATGGATAATTTCCCACAGAAACCGTAAAGGGNCTGGGCAACACGGACTTTCAACTCCCTCCAAAGATTTTCTATGGGGTTGAGATCTGGTGACTGGCTAGGCCACTGCAGGACCTTGAAATGCTTCTTACGAAGCCACTCCTTCGTTGCCCGGGCGGTGTGTTTGGGATCATTGTCATGCTGAAAGACCCAGCCACGTTTCATCTTCAATGCCCTTGCTGATGGAAGGAGATTGTCACTCAAAATCTCACGATACATGGCCCCATTCATTCTTTCCTTTACACGGATCAGTCGTCCTGGTCCCTTTGCAGAAAAACAGCCCCAAAGCATGATGTTTCCACCCCCATGTTTCACAGTAGGTATGGAGCCCCAGATCGAGGGAGATTATCAGTGG